CCCTGGCCGCACCTGCTCGGTATCACCGGTATCACCGGCAATTTGTCCCGTGGCTGGGGAGCTGGACGGTAACGCTTCGGAGACACGAGCTGGATGGAGAACAAACTGAGAACATGATTCTGAAAACTAGGACCGGTGCTCTAGGTCCCCGACCCCCCCTACTCAGGGGCCTGTCCCCCAGCGTCCCCCGGCGGAGCCGGCGCGGTGAGAGGACACCGGAAGGGTGGGCGGGCAGTGCCACCTCCCTGCACAGGGCCCTTCCCGGGACTCCTTGGCAGGTGGCAGGCTGTGGCCATGCCCAGGAAGGGGGGACCCCAGAGGACAAGGAAGGGACATGCTCGCGAGCCCACTCCATGGGTCCAACGTCCAGTCTTTACTTTCTCCCCGGCAGGTATCACTGTAAGGAAACTGAGGCAATCCCTTCTCGGCCTTTTGGCTAAGATCAAGTGTAGGAAACTGAGGCACAGTGACGTTAGGCCATGCAGTTAGGAAACAAGGGGCCAGGACATCAACCGGGGATGGCTCTGGAAGCTCCCCTACCATTCCAACCTGAGACTCCAGTTCACTCCTTCGTGCATCCACTCGTCCATTCTCCATGTATTTCTTGAGTGCTTACCATGTGCCAGAAGCTGAGTGCATATTAATGAACAGAGCAGACCAAAGCCACTGTCCGTTCTGGACAGAGGAGGAAGACAACAAAAAATAAACCTGCTACCCTTTGCTTTGGCAGCATGTATCTTAAAGTGCAACAATATGCTCGTGTGGTTTGGATTGTTAGTTTTTCTGTACTGGGACTGAACCCTAGGGCCTTGCATATGCTAGGCAAGTGCTCTCCCACTGAACCGCCTCCCCAGCCCTTTGTAATTTTTACCTTGAGACAGGGTCTCAGGAAGTTAGCACTGAATTGTTGAGGCTGTCTTCAGACATGTGATCCTCCTGCCTTTGCTTCCTGTGTAGTTGTGATTACAAGTGTGTGCCACCACACCTAAGTTTGGATCTTAAATGTTCCCCAAAAGCTCACATGTTGAAACCACAGTTCCCAGTTGATGTCACCATCAGGAGGCGGTGGGAACCTTCTGAGGGTGTGTTTGTCCCAGGTCCCTCCTCTCTCTCCCGTCCACCATGAGGTGAGCAATCTTTTCACCACACCATCCTTCTAGCATGATGTCCTTGTCTTGGTGCCAGTTTACCATGGACTGAAACCTCTGAACCATAAGCCAAGTGGACCTTTCTTCCTTTAAATTGTTTGTCTCAGGTATATTGTCACAGTGGTGAAAAGCTGACTAACACAGACACAAAGGTTAGCAGGGACCTTCTTCAGGGAGGACACACAGATGGCTGCAGTGTTCCATATTTATAACATTTTTAAAATAAGCTGGACTTGGTGGCCCACACCTATAATCCCAGCACTTGGGAGGCTGAGGCAGGAGGATTGCTTTGAGTTCAAGGCTAGCTTGGGCTACATAATGACTTCAAGGTCAGCCTGAACTGCATACTGAGACCCTGTCAAAAAACCAGAAAGGGCTGGGGATTTAGCTCAGTGGTGCTCTGCCTGCCTCGAAGACCCAAGGTCCTGAGTTCGATCCCTGGAACTGAAAAAAAAAAAAAGAAAAAGAAAAAAACACATTAGGTAACCAACTTTCACAGTATGTTAGAGCATAAAAAGTAGTAAGGTAAAGGCCAAGAGGCCGGCTAAACTGGCTTGGGGATGCTGGGGGTGGAGAGGGTTGCATTTCAAGCAGGGCGATCAGTGAAGTCCTCATTTCAGTGAAAACCTCAAGGAGGGAGGTGTTTGGGCACCTGGGCCTTAAATTCCAGATCCTCCTGCCTCAGCCTCCCAAGTGCTGGGATTTAGGGATGCACCATCACACCCAGCTGCTACTTCCTAGTTCTCTGGCTGTGTTAAAGAAAGGTCCTTCACATTTCTGTGCCTCAAATTTCCCCCCTGTAAAACGGGTAGATAACAGCACCTATGCTCTATGGCTGCTGAGAAGATGAAATGGGTAACCTAAAGCACGTAAACTCAGGCAAGAAATCACGTTTGTGGAACCTCCTTCACAGCCTCCACTGGCAAGTCCTCTGCATGGGCTGGAATTCATCCAGAGCCCACTTATTTGGCTTATTTGAGGGGACTAACCTGCCTTCTTTGAAGCAGGCTGGGATGTATCCCTGGGTAGAACTGTGCAGGCATGCGAGAGGCCCTGGGTTTGGTCCCTAGCACACACCCTCTGTCCCGCCTCCCAAGAAGGAGAAAGAATAAAATCCAGGATGCAGATGAGGAGACACCAGTGATGAGCAGAGTGTGTTTCCTCTTTCTTCCCTGCTGGGGGAGCCCTGCCTTTGTTCAGGCCCTTTTTCCTCCCCACAGCCAGACGCTCACTCACATAATCTGGTCCCCTGTGGTCCTTGCCAACGACTGGCTTAAGCGTCCTTTGTGACGGGGCCCATGGAAGACTTTCCTTTTCACTGGCTGCCCACTGCCCCATGTGGCTGTAATGGGTGGATCGAGGCAGCCATGCAGCCACGTTGTGGCTGTGAGGTGAGCTGACCCCAGGGGCAAACCTGACAAGCTGAGAATTGCAGAACAGAAAGATGGAAAGAACTTGGTTGAGGTGCTGACTTAACTAACTGTAGGGCCAGCTAACACCTCTTCTTATGTGAGACACTGAAATTTTATCACTTAAGCCAAGTGAATTGGGTTTTTATATTTCTTGCAGCTGGAAGCATTCTGATACTTGCAGAAGTACAAGTGTGGTCGCAATGGAGAGGACTCCATGAGTCTCTTTCTCTGGACTGTACACTATAAAGGTGAAGTTCTGAGTTCAAAACCCTGGCTTTTGGTTTTCACAAAGAAACAAAACTTCAGGAATAGCCGACTGGGGGTGTAGCTCAGTGCAAAGACCTGGGGTTCCAGCTCCAGTATCAGAAAAACAAAGTGGTGGTGGGGGAGTCATTTTCTGCAAGATTTTGGAGCAGAACCTTTTTATTGAACAAGCCTGAACTGAAAGTAGATGTCCATATTGTGGCTTGAATGTGTCCCTGAATGTCATGTGTTGGAAACAATCCCCAAGTTCATACACTGATGGCCACTGAAGGTGACTTGGCTTAGGGTCACCAGGGTGGGGGCCTCATGATGAGACTGGTAGCTTTATGATAGGAAGAAACTGCGGTTCAATTCCACACACACACACACACGACCGCGGTGCACACCTGTAAGCTCAGCATTCTGGGAGGCTGAGGCAGGAGGATCTAGAGTTCAAACCCAGTTTGAGTAACTTAGTGACTTAGGGGGATCCTGTCTCAAAATGAAAGATAAAGAAATGCGGGGGGAGAATGTGAGTAGCTCAATGGGAAGGTTCTAGGTTCAATCCCCAGTACCGGCAAGAAAGGAAAAGCCCTGAGCTGACCTGCACTTGCTGTCTCCCTGTGGCAGGAGGTGCAGCCAGAGCAGCCACCAACACCGTGCACTTCCACCTCCCAGCTTCCAGAACTGCCAGCCAAACATGCTGGCATTATTTTTTAATTTTTCATTTTTTTGGTACTGGGGATCAAACTCAGGACCTTGCTGTTGTGAGGCAGGTGGTGAAACCACTGAGCTAAATCCCTGGCCCCATGCTGGCATTATTTTTAAAACTGTATTCTCACTGGGTGTGGTGGTGCGTGCTTGCAATCCCACCACTCGAGAGGCTGAGGCAGGAGGATTGCCATGAGTTTGAGGCCACCCTGAGCTACATAATGAGACCCTGTCTAAAAAAAAACAAAAAGCAAAAAACTGTATTCTTAATAAATTACCAGGTCTTACAAATTTTGTCATAGCAAAATAAAAAGGATTAAAATAATCAGCCCTCTTGAATGGCTGCTACCGAGTTCTACAGGTGACCGAGGGAATCATCTCACACATATTAACAATCAGGCTGGGCAATGCAGAGAGACCCAAAGCCAGGGGGTGGTAGCAAGCATATTGTGATGACTCCTGAGACTAAGGTCTTCCGTGGGAGCTTTCTCTACAACTCTTGGGGCCACACCATCAGCTCAGCCTGTGAAAGCTGCCTGATCCTTCACTCTAGGGAGTTGAGCTTATTTATTTATTTAGTTTGGTGAGACAGGGTCTCCCCATGTAGTACAGGCTGGCCTTGAACTCATGGCGATCCTCCTGCCTCAGCCTCCTGAGTGCTGGGATCACAGGTGTGCACCACCACACCTGGCTCACTTTTGAGTTTAGCTTTTTAATTATTATCTCAGTTTGTATTAATTTGTTAATCCTGCCCCCTCTTCCCCACAAGGAAGAGGAATATTGATGTTGTACCCTGACCCCTGCCTGGACCACAGAGCTGCCTTTGAACATCTCTGTGCACGCCGGGGAGCTGCCCAACACCAGATTGGATTCTAATAATCACACTCGCGTTGGTTTCCTTCCTTGCTCAGAAGAAGTGTGGTTTGACTCAGGCCTGGGCGGCAGAGGACCTAAAATAACCCTAAGGTGGACTTGCAGCCTGCTCCTTGCTGAGGCCTCGCTCGGCCCAGTTCCCGCCCTGGCACCCGGGCACCCGGGCACCCGGCCACAGTGAGGTACTGTTTAACTCCCTGCCACTGGCCTTGGTGCCCTGGAGGGAGGGCTGGGAACCGTGGCTGTGATGTGGGGAGAGTAAGAGGTCCCCGGTTTCCTCAGCCCAGACATCTCCAACACTCCCCACATCTACCTGGTGTCTCCCAAGCTCCTCCATTTTCTTTCCACTGTGTTGGCGTTGCCTTTGCACTTGTGTATTCAGCCAGACACTCCTGGCGATGTGGGCCTTGGCAGAGTCCTGTCAGACACACAGCCAGGCCCTCGGCGTATTCGGCCCCTCCGCCGGTCTGGAATGTTCTGGAAACAGTCGCAGCTGCTACGGTTGCACGTCCTACAGGGCAGCGTGCAGTGATTCAGGTCTACAGGGAGGCACAATGGAAAAGGACCCTTACTGCTTTTCGGCCCCAGGTGACCAAAGAAAGACAGTGGCAGGTGATTGTGTATTTTGTTTAATACTCGCATTGTTTCTAGAGCGCAATTATAGCAATCTTTAAATTTACTTTTCATTACAAATATTTGTCAAGTTTTGTTTCAGAAACATTTTTCCTACTCTCTTGCACATGCACCCAGACACACTACAAAAAATTCATTCATAACACAGTAAGGGCAAACATCACTCATGTAAACGTCTTCCATTAATTTCCCATAATTAAAAAAATCATAGACTTATAGATATTGAATAAGGCTCATAGATTTAGCTCAAATTCCACAAAAGACCAAGGATGCTTGTTGACTCTGTCAGGGTTCACTTTTGGTTCTAATGAATGCCGAAAGCGGAACCCTGGCTTCCACTCCTGAAACGTAACCTCTCAACCCAGTAAATGCATTGCAGGATAAAAAGAACACAGAAAACCCAGGAGGAAGAACTTGTGGTAGGGAGCTTCGAATCATGGACGTAACTTTCTTGTGTGATAAGCAGCCATTCCGTGGTTCCTGTAGTTTCTCCATACGCAAATCAAGATTAATTCTAGTGTTACCCAAAATGTAACCGCCTAGGTTGCTTAGGATACACTGGCGTGTGTGTTCATATTGCTAGAATACACAGTGAAAATCTGTCATCATATTCACCATTTCATTATATCCAGGACCAAAGTGAAAAAAACAAAACAAAACAACTTGCTCAAGTCAAATATCATTAGAAAGGAACTTTTTTTTTTTCCCAAGAACACAAGTCAGGAGAGTTGGGAGGTATGTCGTAGGGACGCGATGGTGTTCAAATGACTTCAGGCTGTGTGTCCAGTCACTGGCAGAGGCAGCGGGGCTCTGGGACCCGAGGACGTCTCTCTCTCTCTGGTTGGAAGTCAGGTGCCTAGGTGCGTGGTCATCCAGAGCAGAGACAGGAAGTGTGCTGAGGGCGGGCCCTGGACAGCAAGCAGCTGCTCCTCCTTCCCCCTCTCTGGAGGCAGAGGGTGGTGGGCAGAGGTGGCTGGCAAGACCGTTAAGTCCCCCCCAGGTCTGGACCCCCACTCCACCGAGGGCAGCCTCCCTGCCGCATGGCTGGGCAGGAGGGTGGCAGGTGATGGTGGCCGGGGACCCAGCTCCAAGGGTCACGGCCAAGTCTGGCTTCTGATTCTGCTGCCCTGCAAAGAAATTGTGCTCCGGATAACTGCACCGGGTCTCGCACGCCTCGGATCCACTCCCAGGCCCCGGGCCTTGGGGAGATCCAGAAAGGCGAGCGCGCGCCTCCGTTAGCACCGAGCTGACTACCGGGAAGCGGCTGAGGCACTGGGGAAGCCTACGCTCTCTCCACCGGGATTGCCACCAGTCAGAGGGACTTGTAGGCTTTGATTTTTAAAAATCAGAATTGATCTGCATTGTATCTCAATAGACTCAGAGAATTCTCACCAAAAATTTTTGTGATGTGTTTAAATAGCACTGGAGTAATTCAACTTCATTTAAATATATTCATTCTACCATGAAAATATTTCATACAAACATCTATTTACATACAAACACATTAAAATTTGTGAAAAGGATTTCCACCCCTGTGGTTTGTATGGCTTGAAATAGTTTGATTGCTCTGTATATGTACGCACACAATTTGGCCAAAGAAAAGTTTGAAAATTTAGTATTTTAAAAATTAAAGCCAGGGATTTAGCTCAGTGGTTCCGCTGCCTACTTTGCAAGTGCAAGGCCCCGAGTTGGATCCCCGGTACCAAAAAAAAAAAATTAAAAACAAAACCTGACATCGCGGCTTCAAATTTCTCAAGGGGAAAAAAAATCCGAGAAAAAAAAAATCTATCCAGGTTTACCTCAAGTAGATATAAATTTAATATATTTTATGAACCTTTGATCTGTGGCAAATAAACATTATAACTATCCGTCTTGCAACATAGTTTTGCTTGTTTTTCTAAAACAAAAGATGTCTGGATTCTAAATCACTACTCAAGACAGAAACTTGAGGCAACTGATAAAAGTAGAGAACTCTATCTTCTTCAAAGATTTTAAATGCATTTTGCAGTGAGTGGTTTAAAGTTTTATTTTTTTTTAAATGACAGTTACTAAATGTGCCACATACTGTCTCACTAAGACAACCCTTTACTCACTGTTCACAATTAATGCAATTTTATTTTACTTGTGCTGCTGGAGTTCAAACCTAGGGCCTGATGCCTGCAAGGTGAGTGTGCTGCCACTGGTTATGTCCCAGCCCAGTGCAGTTTAATTGTCACAATTCAACGTCCCAGATGGTTACATTTGGCCGTGTTGGTGCTTTTTAGTTTTTTGGTGATAAGGAAATAGTTACTCAAGTGTGGTGAACTCCGGAGGACAAAGAGTTTAACTCTGGCCCCGGAGGGGTTCAAAAAGGTCTTAAAAAAGGAATTTCCTTTTTCGTTGCTCAGGGAGCCCAGGGATGAAGCAGGTTAAAATAAGAATAGGTACTACAAGACCCAAGTCCTCCTCATCGCCTATTGCCTTTTAATTTTTCATTCATTTTTGTCAGAAATTCAGTCCCTTCAGTTGTTCTGTTAGTCCCTACGAAAGCCCATCTGGGGACATGCTCTTGCCATTTAGTTCCTATTCCTAACTCTAACACAAGATAATATTTCATCATAGAAAAGATGCTAAGGAAAGATCTAGTCATGCAGGGGTCGGACTGGGACAGCTCTGTAGGAGTCCACTGGAGCCCAGGCTCTGGCTCTTCTGGGGGACAGCATAAAGTCATCTGTTTGTTCCCCACCACTGGGAATCTGCCACATCTCAGTTGTGGTTGTGATGCTGTTGAGCTGGTGCCACTGCTCAGCTGAGGGGGATGACGGTCATTCACTTTGGGACACACTGACAGCACCTATTGGAACCTACACCTGGAGACAACCCCTATCTGTCACAGTTTACAGAGCGGTCTCTTTCTACAGAATAGGAGCGATCCTATCCTGGTGCCTTTTAATCCCAATACTCTATTGAGTTCCTTTTGTGGGAGATCTGTCCGGAAGCCCTGACAACTTCCTTTCCCGGGCAGACGATCCCCTTAAGCTTTCAGGCGGGGATCTGACCGCCACCCAGCTCCAGAGCACACGGTCAGGGAGTCCTGGAAGGATGGCCTTGGAAGCAGGCGAGGGTGGCACAGTCAGGGCCCAGAGGACTGAATCTGGTCTGGAAGCTTTGAGCAGCCCTGGATCGATCCAGCACTTTCCTCAGAAAGCCTTTTAAGAGCAGTGGGCAACCGAGAAATGGCACGCTTCCCTCTGCCTGGCTTGTTCTCTTTCCCGCTCCCAGCAGGCCCTCTCCACCGTCTGCTCTGCTGCCGCGGGGAAGGCTTTTGCTTTCACGAGCAAATTGACACAGGCGACACGTGGCACTGCCAACAGCTGCAGCGCAGAGCAAACGCTGCCCCCAGAGCTTCTGGCCCTCATGCACAAGTGGTGAGGTGAGAAGACAAAAACCATGGGCTGTGGTGAGGGTGCTCATGAAAACCCCCAAATCTCAGAACTCATTCAGAGCAATCCCAGTGATGTCACGACCTAGTATGCTAAACTAAAAACAGGGGTTTTCTCCTTATTCTGCAGCTGTGATTCTACATGGCTTGCAAAATGGCTGAAATGCTACCTGTGCTGTTGCTCTTAAACTATGCAGGTGTGAACGTTTAGCTTACAATGCTCTGCGCAGGTAAGTACTCTGAAATTACAATGATGAAGAGTGTCAGCATTAAGGTTTGATTTGTACCTAGTGATCAGTATGTTTGCCTTTATGGTATTGATTTAACAGAAATTTTTGCATTCTGCACTAGAATTCAGTTTGCTATCTGACTTGTGAATTCAATGCACTGCAGGCAAACAAGCTGGACCGCGCTAGGTTATGTACATTTAAAGTGTATCCAAGGGGAAGAAGTTACTAGCACTATTGAAGATACTGCAAAATTGCCACAGTGACTGCTGAGAAATACTAATTTTCCTCTCTTCTTTCTTCAGGTATATATTACAACTCTTCCATAACTTAATGCAGACAAAGGAAATTCATTTCTTCTCACATAGGAAAGCAAAGGTACCTTTGTTTACATGCGAGAATAATAGTTCTACAATAATATGCCGGCCCTAGGAGCCAGTACTGTATCTTAGGACACAATAATGAAATAATGAGATAGAAAGAACCGGAGAGGCCTCACAGTGCCACAGATGGAGAATCCATGGGGAGGTTTTCTCTTGTACAAGATACCTAAGGTAGGGAACAGGATCGACGAAATGACTCGAAAGTGAATTTGTGTTCACTGACGAAAAAACAAAGCCATTCTATTGCAAGATACAGATCAAAGGTTAAAAGGCAAATTATACTATACTTAGAGAATAAAGATGTAGTAGTTCTCTGCCCCGAGACGGCCCATATGCAAGTGTGATAGCCCAGTTTGCAACGGCCATAGGAAAATCATCATGGAAAAACCACCGATGAAAAATGACGGAAAAGCCCATTTCCCTTTTTCAGTCTGTCATTTGGCATCTCTGAATGCGGTACAGATTAGATGCAAATCACCAGAGAACATCACGCTGTCTGTGTCCAGGGCTCAACAACGCCTCCTGGCAGGCCGAGATTGCAAGGCTAGCTAATTGTACATCCGGTATGAGTAACGCAGTCAGACCTGTTAGTACGCGAGCAGGTGAGAGGAAGTGACGTCACAGCACGAGCAGTCCCTGGTTGCCCCGTCAGCGGGTGAATGGAGTGCATAGATCCGAGTTTCCGTTCCAGCTGTGTGGAGCCCCGGCCAGGCCTTTCACTTCTGCTGGGCGGCCTGGAAGGCCTTCAGCTCCAGCAGGTACCACTCGGGGGCTTCGGGCGCATTCTTCCCTGGGGGGCTGTGATCATAGCCATAGGCAACGGTGAGCTCCTCGTCGGCCTCCACAGCTCGCAAGGTGCGGATGCTTTTGATGGGCCCAAAACGGGGGTGGACAAACCTAGACATCAAGGTGACAAGGTCATTCCAGGGCTAGACCAGCAGGCTAGAGGTGAAGGCCAGCGAGAGGCCGGAGCAGGGGTCTCGCCTGTGTGGGTGCAGGTCCATCAGCATCACTCACTGGGAGCTGCTACACCTGGGTGCCCCGGATCCACTGGGCTGGACCCTGTACACCCCAGGTGACCGACTGGCAGGGTCAAGTTTGAAAAGCACTGCTTTTAATTTTTTTGGCAGCACTGGGGATTGAACCTAGGTCTTTCACTCGGAGCTACCTCCCCAGCCCTTTTTTATTCTGAGACCAGGGTCTCATTAAGTTGCTAAGTTGCCCAGGCTCCTCCTGCATCAGCCTCCCAGAGTGCTGAGATCACAGATTCGAACCACCGCATCTATCATGTGCTGTCTTTTTTTGAGCGTATATGGCACTCTATGTTTATAAAGCAACAATCAGGGTCAACAACAAAAACCCGTGCTTAGAGAAACCAGAACTCCTGTAGGCATCGTCACCTAGCCTCAGGGAGGTGACACCAGACTGCTTTTGGAATTATATGACAGAGCCTTGTGGACAACAGCAAAAAACTGCAATGCACTCTCGCTGTGTAAAGGAAACATTTTCTAGCAGGAAAGAAGATGAGGGCACCCTGCCGACCTGCTTCCTTCAGGCTCCCAGGGAAGCACCTAGGAAGGGAGACTGGGTCTGCACACAAGACCGTCAAGCGCCAAGGAGCGAGACCTGGGACAGCGCACTGGCCAGAAAAGAACCCACCTTGTTTTTATGCACCCCTGGCCAAATCCCTTTAGTTCATTTACAGTCATGTGTGGGGCGAAGGGCGGGTGTGGCACCGGAGGGGAAGTTACGGTGTACATATGTGTCTGTGTAAGCATGTACACATGTGTCTGTGTAAGCATGTACACGTGTGTGCCTACGTGTGTGCATGTAAGGGCACAGCATTATCAGACTGTGTCCCATAGAAAGGAAGATGCCTGTACCAGGGATTCGGGTATTCTTTCTTAAAAATCACAATTTTGTCTTTGAATCCAAATGTTTCATCATGATTTCCATCATAGTACATTATTGCCATATGAAAAAACAGTACTCCTGGCATGAGCTCTGCTAACCTTCTGATGTGTGGAAGCAATCCTGCATTGGATTCTGGGCCTAAGGCGTTTTTTGGGGGTACCGGGATTGAACTCTGGTCCTCGCGCTTGAAGGCAGGTGGCGGAACCACTGAGCTAAATCCCCGGACCCCTATGGTGTCTTCTGTCCTCTCCTACATCCATTCTCCTGCCCGTCATGATTGTTTTCAGAGAGGAGATGGTGGGTGGATTGAAAATAAAGAACCTCCACTTCCAGCGTGGAGGCCAGCAGAGGACAGGGAGGCGCAGTGGTGAAGTATGGGCCTGGTGTCCTTGCCGGGACAGTGAGTCTCAGCCTCGTGGGTTTCCGCGGGATTGGACAAGGTAACCAGAGCACCCCTGGGTGCAGCTCACAAGCAGAGCATGAGTGGCTTGGGGGAGTGTTGTTTGATTTAGGTTGAAACGTACAGAACAACACCAGTGTTTGAGAAACAAGTAAGTGCCACGAATTGGCATCTGAGTTTTATTTTTGGTTATTAGTCGAGTAGTTTTCTCATCATCCCAAACAACTAAGAATTGGTCAACTAAGGTTTGGGCTTGCAAAATGATGACAACACAAAAACAAAAACAAAAACAAAAACAAAAATCAAAGCCTGCAGAGTAGAGGCTTGAGAAGCTCTCTCGTCTCCTTGTGCGCTTCCTTGTGGTGAGGAAGGTCCTGTGTTTGCAGTGAGTCTGCAGAACAGCTCGTTTTAAAGGAGGCCAAGCAGCATTTCCGACAGTCTACAGGGCTGCCGAGCATGCGAGCCTGGAGAGCTGTGGCCCTGGAAGCCCTGTCATTAACAACACATCACTTTCACTTCATGTGACACATGGCCTCTGCCATCTCTCCCCACCCTTTAAGCGGAAGTTGCAGCTCCAGCGGTTGTTCTTAGCTGCCAAGGAGAGCAAGTTGCTCGCTGCCAGAATGACTCTGAAGCATCCCAGGGAAGCAAGAGGGAGCATTCCCAAGGAACCGCCAAGACTTGCTCCTGTTTATCCTACCGAGCGGGGTGATGATGGCCCGCGAGCAAGGCGACACAGAGCTCTCTCGGCCCTGAGCTGGTGCACTCTGGCCAAGCTGAGGGATGATGTGGAGTAGACACCCAACTGCATCCTCTAGAACCAGAGTTGAGACACTGAGCTTTGGGAAGGAGATTCCAGGGGCGCAGGAAAACTACTGAAATACTTGTAAGTAGCAGTGTAGAAGACTGAGTGCACAGGACAGAGAGAAAGAAGGTGCAGAGCTGGGTGTTACAGGGAAACCACCTGGGCTCAATAAGAGTACTTTCTAGGCCAGCATGGTGTGCATTCCCAGAATCCCAGCACTCTGGGAGGCTGAGGCAGTAGGACTGCAAGTTCAAGCCCAGCCTGGGCAACTCGTGACTTAGTGGAACCCTGTCTCAAAACTTAAAAAAGGGGCTGGAGATGTACCTCAGTGGAAAGGCCCTGGATTGAATCCCCAGTATTGCAAAGCCAAACAAACCCACAAAAACAAAACAAAGAAAAAACCCTCAAAACCTTGTAGGTGTCACAGCCTAAAAGCAAATTTCATATCTCTTTCAGCTGTGTTTGTGGGGGACAGGAAGTTCCCCACAATAGAGGTTTACAAGAAGAAATTTGATGAGCAGGTGGAAGGGGAGGCTCAAATCCCCAGAAGGGGTGGGAACATTTAGTATTTTTTCATAACAGCTTTGCTAAGGTGTAACTCGTACATCACCAAATTCACCTTTCTAAAGCGGACAATTCAGTGTTTTTAACATAGTCACAAAGTTGTACAGCTGTCACCATCATCGACCTTTAGAACGCGTTAATCACCCACAATGCAAGCCCACACCCATGAGCAGCCACTTCCCGAGGCCCCTCCAGCCCTGCACACCCACTGATTTACCTTGTCTCCGAGTTTCCCACTTGGGGTGTGTCACGGAAGTGCAGTCTCGTGACTGGATATCGCCCACTTAGCACAATGCTTCCAGCCCTCACCCATGCTGTACCAGGAACTGCGCTTTTATAGGTCTCTTCCAACACTCAGACCTCAGGCCCTTGGCTTCGGATTTTATGTTTCTCTTTTTTCATATTATAAAAGCATTTTCTAGTATTCCCTATTGTTTTTTGTTTTGGGTTTTTTTTTTTTTGGTACTGGGGATCAAACTCAGGTCCTTCTGCTTGTGAGGCAGGCACCAGAACCACTGAGCTAAATCCCTGATCCTTGTTTTGGTTTTTTGAGACTGGGTCTTGTTTTGTAATTCACGCTGAGCTTGAACTCACTATGCAGCCCAGGCTGGCCTTGACCTCATGGCAATCCTCCTGCCTCAGCCTCCAAAGTGCTGGGATTACAGCTGTGCACCACCCTGCTGGGTCTAATATTCTCCACTGTGCAGAGTAATTTCAATTTTGGGGGCATGAGGGTAACTAGGGATTGAGCCCAGGGCTTAACATATGCTAGGCAAGTGCTCTACACTGAGGTATCCTCAGTTCTTTAAAAAAATTTTTTATTTTGAGACAGGGTCTCATTAAACTGATCAGGCTAGCCTGGAACTTACAATCTTCCTGCCTCAGCCTTGCAAGTGCTGGGATGACAGGTTATCTGCCACCACTCCTGGCTCCAATTTTTACTACTATTTCAACAATGTGTCTGTCCCCCTGGGCTCGAGAGGTGGGAGCCTGGCCCCCAAGCCATCAGTGTAAGAGGTGGCGCTTTGGGAAATGGCTGGACAGGAGAGCTCTAACCCCATGGGTGAGTCTATAGTTAATGGCTCACTGGCAACAGGATTAACTGGATGAGGCTGGTCACTGAGTGTGGCTTTGAAGGTATATTTTGTCCCCAGATCCCTCCTGGCTCCCTACTCTCTCTGCTTCCTGGCTGCCCTGAGGTGAGCAGCTTTCCTCGGCCACGCCCTTCTGCCATGTTGTTTCCACTTCACCACAGGCCTAAGAGCAATGGAGTCAGCTGACCATGGACTGAAAGCTTGAAATTGTGAGCTAAAATAAATTCTTCCTCCTTTAAGTTGTTTTGCCTAGGTATTTTTTCAAGCAATGAAAAAAATGACTAACAAAACCTTCTTGCTTTGCTTCTTTCAGTGCTGGGGATTAAACCCAGGACTTCGTTCACACTGGCCAGTTGCTCTGCCCCTGAGCTATACCCCTAGCCCCAGTGCTACCAGTAAATAAGGAAACTAGGGTCAGGGATTTAGCTCAGTGGTTTCGCTGCCCACTGCGCAAGCACAAGGACCCAAGTTCGATCCCTGGTACCAAAAAAAATAAAAAATAAATAAGGAAACTAAAAGGCAACAATGGCAGCAATAAAACAGCAAGGACTAAGGATGCTACTTCACTGCCTTTCCACTCTGAAGCACATTCAGTGCCTTAGTTTGCCAAGGCCTGGAGGGGCAAAGGGGCTGTGCAGATTTTGAGTTTTAAGTTGAAACCTGGCGGCCCATGGCAGAGAAGGCCCCCAATTACTCCCGAGGAGCAGCCTTTATCCCAGGCTTAGGGACACATTTACCTGCCCCGCTGTGTCCCAGGGCCCAAGGCCCAGCCCCACCCAGTACCCGTGTCCTACTCACATGTCGTAGACGCAGTTTGGAGTGAAGCAGTGATTCGCCTTGTGTCCCAAGGAGGCACAGTACTTGGACACGCGGTTGTAGGGCTCAGGCACATCAATGACTGTGTCCTCGTCCAGGGACAGGGTGTTCCCATTCAGGGCCCAATCCCTGTTGTCAACCTGTAGGAAAGCAGAGCAGACACTGGAGGACTCGCTCTCAAAAGCTCCAAGGAGGCCAGAGACAGCCAATCATGAATCCTTAAAACTGTGGTTTGAGCACCCCGGCCATAAAAGAGACCCAGGACTCCTCTCCACTCTGGAAAGTGGAGGGTGACAGCTCAACTTCCTGTTGATTGATTTTTCCTTATTTTAAATAGGAAAAAGGATTTTGGCCTCATAAAGATACACACAAATGTGACAGATAACTTGAATTAAAAGTAGATGAAGGCTGGGGATTTAGCTCAGTGGTTCTGTCACCTGCCTTGCAAGCGCAAGGACCCGAGTTCGATCTCCGGTACCAAAAAAAACCCCCAAAAAACAAAAAACAAAAAAAAAATAGATGAGCGGGGATGTGGCTCAGTGGTACAGCATCTGCCTGGCAAGTATGAGGCCCTGAGTTTGATCCCTGGTACAAAAAAAAAAAAGGAGATGAAGCCGGGTGTGGCAGTGCACACTTGTCATCCCAGCGTTGTGGGAGGCCGAGGCAGGAGGATTACTAGTTGGATCTTAGCTTGGGTAATTTAGTGAGTGCCTGTCTCAAATTAAAAAATTAAAGGAGGGCTGGGGATGTAGCTCAGTGTGAGGGCATGGGTTCAATCCCCATGCTGCACACAGCACCACTACAACCAACAAAGAAGGGAGCAAAGGCCTGAAGGCCATGCTTTTGCTGGTGACCCCCAGCAGCCCCCGCCTGGGATGGTGTCCTGACAGGACTCAGTCCACAGCGTCACCAGCGGGCTCCCCTCTCCAGGACACTCCCAACAGCCCCGGGTCTGACGAGGCCAGTGGAATACACGTTTGGAGCAGAAAGATCACACTGTCAGACAAACCTGTTGACAGGTATATCAACTTTCCCACCCGTACACTGCCACTGCGCTTCTATTTGTGTGTGACAGTCACGCAACAGGTACTAGGTGGTCACCCTGTGCAGGGCACTGTGCAGGGGACACAGCAGCGACCAAAAGCGAGAAAAATCCTTCGTGAGTGGGTCCTTCCCTTCCCCTCTCTCCCTTTTACTGTACTGGGGCTTGAACCCTGGGCCTTGCACTGAGCTGTGTCCCTAGCCCTTTTATTATTATTTTAAATTATTATTTATTTATTTATTTTTGAGACAGGGCCTCACTTTGTAGTTCAGGCTGGCCCTGAACTTACTGTGTAGCCCAGGCTGGCCTCGAACTCGTGGCGATTCTCCTGCCTCAGCCTCCCAAGTCCTGTGATCACAGATGTGTGCCACCACGCCCAGCTTTTACTTACTATTTTGAGACAGGGTGTTACGTGACACTGACATATGGTACTTGGTGCCATCCACCTTATGTTGCCATTGGCAGCTGTATATTTTTCACATATCGCAAACAAAAATCTAAAGCTAAATCTAAATCTGAATTTCACAAGGGTAAGGAGCGAGGCTCATTCATTGATACAACGCTGACTGTGAGTTTCAGCACGGAGCTGGAGTCCACTACTCCAAATCTTGCTTGAGCTCTGCCATTTATTGTGTTTGGGGCCTTGGGTGAATTGTTTCACCTCTCTGGACTTCAGTTTCCTCATCTGCAAAATATTAAAAAATAAATAAATCGAGCATCCCTAATCAGAAAATCTGAAATCCAAAATGCTCCAACGGTCAAAATTTTGAGGGCTGACGTGACGACTGGCAAGTGTAACACCTGACCTCATGTGACAGGTCTCAGTCAAAATAGAGTTGCACTAAAAACACTGCCAAAAAGCTACCTTCCAGGCTGGGCATCATGGTGCACACCTGTGATCCCAGCACTTGGGAGGCTGAGGCAGGAGAATTGCCATGAGTTCCAGGCCAGCCTGAGCTACATAGTGAGTTTGAGGCCACCCTGAACTACACAGTGAGACCTTGTCTCCAAAGCGGGGGTGGGGGGGGTGGCACGTGGGGATTTAGCTCAGTGGTTTCATTGCCTGCTGCACAAGCACAAGGACCTGAGTTCGATCCCCAGTACCAAAAAAAAAAAAAAAAAGCTTCAAACTTTTGTCCTTGGGCAGATGCTTAGCAGTTAATTGTAAAGCAAATAAATAAACAAGCAAAAACCTTACATGAAGTTTTGGAAATATGTCCCAGACTGTGTCTAAAAGGCCAGCAGTGATTCAACTCTTTATTGTTTTTTTGGCTCTTGAAGTCTTCCTAATAAGACAAAAGCCCTGGGATTGGTGGTGCACGCCTACAATCCCAGCACTTGGGAGGCTAAGGCAGGAGAATCACGAGTTCGAGGCCAGCCTGGGCTACATAATAAGTTCAGGGCCAGCCTGAACTACAAAGGGAGACCCTGCCTCAAAACACAAAAACAAACAAAAAACCAAACAAGACAAAAGCTTTCATGTGGCTTTTGCACCAACGGAAGTAGGGAGACTTCATATACCGCACCCGGTCCACGATCATTAATTACCTACAGACAACCTGATTGGCCCTCAGCTTTTCACAGTAGTGGCTGTGCGGTAGGACGCAGTCCCTGTCTCTCAGATGCACCGTCCCACTTTGTGTGAAGTAGTCGTGGAACCTGAGAGGGAGCTTGTTTGAAACCAATCACACAGGTTTTCACTTCTTCAACACTCACCTCCTGGTGTGTAATTCGGACTCCATTGTAAAAAGACACAACAGTGTTAGGTTCCATGGCCACCTTGGAAAACAGTCCTTCCCCAGCATTGGGAATGAGAGACTCAGAAACATACACCCTAGGTGGAAAGAAGCCAAGCAAGGACTTCAGTGTGACACATCTTTCCTTACACAACATCAAAATATTATGCTTTCTTCCTGTATCAAATATTAGTTCCTAATAATCCAACAAAGAAGGGAGGAAGAAGTTAAACTACAATATTTTAGCATAGGAAATGGAAGAAATGGTAGTTTTGTGTCTTTTAAGAGTGGTGTTCAGGATTGATTCTCTGATAAGGAGATGATGGTTATAGTATTTTCATAAAGCTACTCAGTAGTTAACACAACCTCTTTTTGGTAGGAGTGTATATAGCTAATGGTAACTTCTAGTCTTACTGGACAGGTCAAACCCTTCAAAGTTAAAGCCACACCTGCATTTGACAAAGTCTGAAAGGAAGGGAAGACTGCTTTTGTTAAACCCCATGAATCTTACATGAATAAGTGGTGAGCAGCAAGATATAACCAACAAATGCTTCTTAACAGAAGGGCTAACAAAGGCTCTGAGGCTCAAATCTGTCTTTGGCTCATTTTTGTAAATTAAATTTTCTTTGGTTTGGTTTGATAAGTCAGTCTCACTATGTAGTCCAGGCTGGCCTCGAACTCACAATGCTCCTGCCTCAGCCTTCTGAGTGCTGGGATCACAGGTGTGTGCCACCATTCCCAGCTTTGTAAATTATGTGTATGGGACACAGCCACCCGACCTAGTCAGTACTATCTAAGACTGCTTCAGTACTACAAAGGCAAAGCTAAGTAGTTGTGACAGAGGTCGGATGGCCTGCAAAGCCTGAAACATGTACTGTGTGGTCCTTTGCCAAAAAAAATTGCCAATCACTGGTTTATAAGAAGAGAAAACAGCACTCATGATTATGGATTGGATTTCACAGCAGAGCACACATTCATTTCTTCAACAAAGCTCTCAGTTCTTTGGACACCATGGCAGAAGACCCTGCAGGATCTGGTCACCTGAAACGTTCATTATGTAGAATTCATGCTTATCTCATGGATGAATTACCACTTCCCACTCTAGTCCTTCGCTATGACAGAATTATACACCCTGCCATTCTGCCACGCAGCCTTGTGATGCCTCCCTCAGAGTGGTGGCGCCTACCTCCCTGTTACGGTTTGGATCTGAAATGTCCCCCCAAAGCTCATCTGTGCAAGGCTTGGTCCTTAAGGCAGCAGTGTTTGGGGGTGGGGGCTTTGGAAGGTGACGGGTCATGGGGCACTAGCCTTATCAATAGATTAGTCCACTGATGGACTCATAATTCAATGGGTCATTGGGAGGTGGTGAGAACTTAGGAGGTGGGGCCTAACTGCAGGAAATAGGCCCTTGGGGGAGGGGCTGCCCTCCAAGGCTCTATGTTGTCTCCAGTCCTTTCCTCTTTTCCTGTCTCTCTGCTTCCTGGCCACCATGAGGTGGGCAGCTTTGCTCCACCTTGCACACCCCACTATGACATTCTGTCTCACTGCAGGCTAAGACACAATGCAACCCAAGTGACCATGGACTGCAACCTCTGAGACTGAGCCAACATAAATTTTTCTGTAAGTTGCTCTTCTCAGGTGTTTGGTCACAGTGACGAGAAGCTAATGAGCACAGTCGCTGCACTCCTGGCTTTGCTTGTGGCCTCAGGACGTGCTCTGCTAGCAGCCCCTGGGCAGAGCTGAATGCACACTGAGTCTTAGGAGTTATGCTCCTGCCAGCCTCTTCCAGAATGTCCACCAGCAGAGCAGTGAGCCGGGGCTCCCATGAGGCAGGCTTGGCATGAAGACACCTGAAATAGACCTGAACCCAACTTGAAGCCTGGAGTCTGGCCCAGTCTAGCGGGGCCTAGTCGATCTCATTCAAAAGTGGCTGAACCTCAGCCAAGCCACAGAGCCACGAGGGTAAAATAAAATGTTTGCTTTTGTAAATTGCTGATTACCTTGAGGACACTGCTATGCAGAATCATCACAATAACAATACCAGACAAGGCTGATCCACACAGCTCAGACACTTGAGTTTTGGGGCTAACAAAGAGACTCAACCCTCTCCTTTGTAACCAGGCTGGAAACTTCTGTCAAAAAAGGGGCTATTTATTCCTTGTGACATTGTGGGGCCAGCCCTGTTGGTCGGGCCAGGGAAGACGCCTGTTTCCTAGATAGGAACAGAAATAGCCTGGGAGCAAAGAGTGAGGCAAAGGGTGTCCAACCTCAGATGGCATCCTTACTCTAAGAAGACCAAGAGCGGAGGACAGAGTACTGTCACCACACTCAGGGGTCAGAAGGGAAATGGAACAGGACTTGACACTCTGGAAGTGAGACTGCAGAATCAGAGCTGGGTCACTGATAGGCTGGGATGTTTTTGTGCTTTTCCTACTTCCTTTGTTTCCTCCTGTTGTCCCTGAATGAATGAAATCACCTCATGTTCCAGGTGTCATGAGCCAGCCTGGGGAGAGATGCAGAGAGTGAAGTGCCCCCTGGAGGATAGCAAGTGATTACAGCACCAAGGGTGGCACCAGAGTCCGAAGAAAGGGGACACAGCAGGGGCCTGGCTGCCTGGCCTAGTGGTCTCTCTACCTAGACTTCATTCCAGGTCTCATTCATGAGCCGTTCTGTGCTTTCCTGTCCCTCACAGGGAGACTCTGTACAAGAATAAAAGCGCTCTTCCTCCACAGTGGGTATTTACTTGGAGGGTTTGCAAAGGAAAAGGGTGCCTCAGGGAGCAGCCTGGACCCAGGAGGTGCCCAGCCCGGGCAGAGAGGAGCAACAGGTCCCCACCAGGGTTGTAAACCTCACCTAAGCAGCGCAATTCAGACCACAAAGCAAGCATTACCTCTCAGCTTCATAAGGGTCTGGCAGAAGGGCGCTGGTAGAGATGCAAGATGAAGTCGACTTATCAAAGTGGTACACGGGACCTGGAAATTAAACCAAACGTCAGAGCAGGGGCAGAGGCAGCAAGAAGCATTTAAAGTATTTCTTTCTATTTGTGGGACAGAAAGAACTAAACGACTGACTACACGTGTTATTCTAGTTATACCAATGAAGTCTCATTGTTAGCGCTCCCATTTAGCTAGACGGTTGTGAGATTTACTCTTTGGTTTTATTGTCTGTTTGTTTTGATTTTTTGAAATACGGTATTTCCATGTAGTCAAGGCTGGCCATGTTGTCCTGGCTGGCCTTGAAGTGGCAATTGTCCTGCCTCAGCCTCCAGAGTGCTGCAATTACAGGCATGTACCACCGTGCCTAGCAGTTTTATTTCCAAGTGTTAATGAACAGCCATCAGATCTGTTTCTTACAATTCCCATGCTCTTGACTTTTCTTTCTTCAAATATTTTAAAAGATGTTTGGGTATTTAACATTTTTTTTTTTGGTACCGGGGATTGAACTGGGGACCTTGCGCTTGCGAGGCAGGCACTGGAACCACTGAGCTAAATCCCCGGCCCAGTACTTAACATTTTTAATCAAGACAATGCTTTGTCTCTTCCATATGGCCAAGCTCCAGGCAAACAGGGCACACCTTTGCTTCTTTGAATTTTCCGATCTTTCTGCTTGGGTCAAATTGAATGATGGTTTTAAAATTCTCTCTTGCTTTTCTTCATGCCAGACCCAGTCTGCAAATCTAAGAGTGCTGGCATTGGCTCCTTCCCTAAGAGTAACATTCAGCCTCACCAGAGTCAGGGAGAACAGCGCTGCTTGTGATTAAGCATTAACAAAGTGGTTTTATTTCTATTAACAGCGCTTCAGAACCCAACCAGTAATTTATTCCAGAAACTGAGGTCTGTGACCGACCTACAATTACTGTTGGCCCTAAGCAAAGGATTAGCCTTGAGAATCCTCCCAGAGCACAATGAAGACATACGATGTTCTGAAGGATAATAAGTAAAGAAATAAAATTTGGAACTGGAGGGCTTACTCCTGCAAAGTCAATTATTTGAGATATCACTAATAATCCTACTAAGCAATTCTTCAGTGGTTGCCAATGGTTACCAGGTCTGTCTTTTTGTACAACCTGTGCCTGAATTAATGCCTCAAAGTAAAAGAAAAGTCCCACTTGGCCTGTATCTAACCAGGAAATAGACCACTGAAGTATTTCAAAGACAGAGAATTTAACTCAAGGAATTGGTTATATAGGGGACGGAAGAATGGAGAAGCCAAACAGGAAGTTGTACTAGGCGGGAACAGGAAGCTGCCACCCTTGGGGGTGGGGTGGTGGTGGCAGCGCCTGCGCTTGCGCTCTGGAGCTGGGGTGGCCAGCGATGGCCAGCCTTCCTGGTGGGAGATGGAATCAGGGTGACAGCCAGGTCTTCTCTCTGCTTGCTTCCCCAACTTAGATCCATCCAGGGCCTCCCTCTGGCCGAAGATACACAAAAGCAGGCTTCTTCAGAGGCCACTTGCAATAGAAGCAGGCAGAGAAAGAGTGAGGAAGAGATCTGAGAGAGCAAATCAGTAATGGACCAGCCACAAAAGGAATTTGGTTCAAAAAAGAAAAAAAAATTTTTTTTGTACCAGGAATCAAACTTGGGACCGTGTGCTTGCAAGGCAGGCGACGGAACCACTGAGCTAAATCCCCAGCCCAAGAAAAAAACATTTTTAACTAACTTTTTTCCTCCAAGGCCTGTGCATGATAAGCAAGCACTTTACCACTGAGCTACATCCCCAGTCCTAAACCAAACCTTTGTAAGGAATCTACATTCTACTGAGTGGAAATTCTCCTATGAACTTCCAGGTTCTCTTTCCTCACAAATGCACACCGAGCGCCAACCGCGTCAAGGGGCACCTCAGGCCCGGTGCCAACACCGGTGGGCCATGGCTGGCCTGCACTGCAGCGGTGTGGTGCACCTTTCCTGATGTGTCCTGCACTCCCTTCCACTTGCCCGAGCTACAGCCAAACAGGGTGCACCTTTGCGTCCACTCTAGTTTGTTCTGTGACTTTTCCTCAGAAACTCTATTTATTTTCCCCCTGGTACCGGAGATCGAACTCAGGACCTTGAGCTTGTCAGGCAGGCTCCAGCACCACTGAGCTAAATCCCTGGCTGTTCTGTGACCTTTGATTAGAATGTGTTCATTCACTCAGCAAGCATTAGCCGTAAGGGGAGAGCCAAGACATGAAGACAGACTGGGAACTAGCTGGGAAAAGGAGTTTATGTGGAGGGGGGAAGAGGAGAGAAATTCCAGCCCGAGGCATAGACGAAAAAATCAACGTGAAGGAAAGGGAGAATGAGAAGCAGCTTGTGGCTACAAGGCATGAAGAAGAGGGACTGAGGGCCGGGGATTTAGCTCAGTGATTTCGCTTCCTGCTGCATAAGCACAAGGACCCGAGTTCGATCCCCGGTACCAAAAAAAAAACAAAAAGAAGGACTGGTGGGAAGGAAGCCAGTGAGGTGGCAGGCTGGGGAGAACTTGCTGTGCCACATTTACATTATGTGTCCATCTTCTCCCAAACCTGACCCTTTGACACCTCCATGACTCATTACTAGTCAGCAGTTTAGTCATTCTAACCAAAAGAAGTGGAGGGGACACAAAGGTGGCAGAACACTAGATCTTTGGATTTTTCCAAATGCCCACCATAGCCCTGGCAACTGACCCTTTGAGGCCTATTTCCTTAAAATATCTCACCCCTGCCAGAATCTTGTCAATAAATGCACCTTTTTCTTTTCTTTTTTGCCTTGAATGAATTTGAGGAGGGTGTTCACTATGTGGAATCAGAAATTATATGAAAAATGATCATCACCTGGAGAATGATCAATTCTCAACATCTATGTCTTCTGTCTACCAACACCAACGTAATAAGAAGAATACTTTTCATTATGGTGTTTTATGGTAGGTGCAAATATTCATATTCGATAATGAATTCTGAAAATCTAAATAACAGATTCTGAAAGCTAAATAACTTGCCTAAGATAGCCCCAATATGTAAATGTTAGAATTGAAACTCAAATTAGGCAACTCTTACATTCTGTCTCTTGCCACTAAAAATGCTGTCGTTTACAAAGTTTTAAGATTTACATCACCAGGCTGAGGGTGTAGCTCAAAGGTAGAGCACTTTCGAAGCCCTGGGTGTGATCCTTGGCACAAGAATCCATCAGTCAATCAATCAATCAATCAAATTAAATTTACACCAATTAGGACCTTCTCCTGTCCTGTGTCTCATTTCTAAATATACAACACTGTTTCCTTTCAGTACAAAGGTCAAAAGCACAAACACTACAGCTTACAGTTTAAAGATTACTGCTTCCTTTTTTTAAAAGATATCTTCCATTTTAGAATAGTTTTAGACATACAAGAGTCACAATGCTACCAGAGTTCTCACTGTTGCTCCCAATGGTAGCTTTTTACATGATACAGTACATTTGTCAAAATTAGGAAACCAACACAGACACATTACTATGAACTAAATCCTAGACTTTGTTTAGATTCCACCAGCTTTTCCACTAATGTCCTTTTTGTGTTCCAGGATCCAATCCAAAATCCTAATTGCTTTTGGACTGCTTCAGTTTTTAACTTAAGAAGTAAAATTGAAGATATTTACAGCAACCTAAATTGGATCGAAATGTAAATTTGAGAGTTCCCATTTTTGGACAATTCCCCTTGGAGATTATCCTTCAGATTCCAAGTAGCTCAGTATTATTTAGGCCTATTACTATCTATTACTATCTATTACTATTACCTTTCTGATCATTGTTCCCCTGTAACCTGCCCTGGACCAGAAATACAAGCAGATACGGTTTTCAAGGAGTCAGACTAATTTAGCTGGTTTTCTTCTGCTATGCCACTCAAAACACAAGATCTTGAGTTTTCTTGTATATTTTCCTGATTTTCTACAAAAAGTAATTTTTTTCAGTACTGGAGATTGAACTCAGGACCTCAGGCTCAGCAAGCTGCTTTGGTTGGCCTTGAACATATGATTCTCTTGCCTCAGCCTCCCAAGCAACTGGGGCTTCGAGTGAGCACCACTGTACCTGGCTAAAACAATTTTATATCTAGGGAAAAAAATGTTTTAGTGTGATGTGTTGCGCTTCTGAAAGGAAGTACGTGTTTTCTAATAAGGGCTCTGTGGGGCGCAGGCATGAGGTGAGTGTGTGCCCCGTTTGAGAGGCTGGGCTCTCAAGAGGGGTGAGCATTGTGCATTTATCTGTCGGGTCAGAGCTCGGGCCAGACCGGCTTGACAGTGTGGCCAGCCTTGGAGATTGACCCGATTTGGTTCTTTAATAACATTAAACCACAGTACAGTGTTTTAGAGCTACTAGTCAGCAGATTTGCTAGACTGCCTCTCGTTTCTTAGTTCCTGCTCCGTATTAGAATTATCTGTGTCTACGGTCACCTGCCTTTTCAGTCTCTCCCACTAACATTCATCCTGAGCTTTTTCCTCTCTCTCAGTCGCGTCTGACTTGGCTCTGTGATTTGCTTTGGCCAATGAAAGGCGGGTGACAATGACACCGTATCAGCCCCAAGGGGCGGCTTTGCAGAGCATCACAGTGAACACCAATGCTCTGACGCCTCCACGATCCACTGGGAGAAAATCTTGTCCCAAGTTGCCACCGTCCTCAGCCTCAGCTCCATTGCTGAGACTCCAGGGCAGTGGAGCCCCTGAGGCAGCCTGGATTGCAGTGGGCAGCACACCAAGCTGTGCTGTAAGTCATCCTTGGCTTGTTGTGTCTGCAGCAAAGCTGACTAGTACACCACTGAAGCGAGCCAGACAGACCAGAAAAGAGCCTCTCTCACCCGACCCCCAGTGGCAGCCGACTCAACTTACTTCCGGGCACCATTTCAAACTGAGGTCTCCCTTCCTCGATGGCCATCAGGGTGGCCAGTTTGCCTTCGGTCATCTCTCCGTCAATGAATTTCCCATAGAGTGCAGTTTTCCCATCAGGGTACACGTACGCTATCTTCTCTCCCGTCATCTCGCCCTCTTCGTTGACTTCTCCCACAAGGCTGCCGCCATCCTGATAGGAGAAACCAAAACCCAGAAAATATTATATATAGTATTTATCTATGGGGTCTGAGTTCAAGAGATTTCTCTCCTGCACAACCACTATTAATAGCACTATCAATGGGGATAATAACAGTTTAAGAACCGTGAGCTTCTGACGAGAGTAAGAATAGGATGCGCGTCAGGTGTGAAAGGAAACTATAGCGAATGCCTAAATTTTTAAAATTAGTCCAATAAAGACATTAATTCCCCTCTAGATGCTCCCCTTGCTTCCAACACACTTTTCCTATCGTTCTTGCCACTTGCTTAAGCAGGTCTGAAGTCTTCATGTTTTTAGTTGTGCTGTTGTGGCTGCCTGGTATCCTGAATCGATTCAAAACGTTCACCATAGGGCCGGGGATTTACCTCAGTGGTTCCAGCACCGGCCTTGAAAGCGCAAGTTGCCAAGTTCGATCCCCGGTACCCAAAAAACAAAACAAAACAAAAAAAAGTTCACCTTTCAAGGTCATGTTGACTTTGGGGAAGAACCAGCAGTCACACAGTGCCAGTTCCAGTGAGCAAGGTGGATGAGGACCCCTCTTAATGCTTTCAGGAGCTGCCTTTCTGTATCACACCTTGTAAAGATACTCAGGAAACGGAACTTCCAGAACAGCTACAGAAGGAGGCAAGAGCAATGGGATAAATGTGTTCGAGGTGAGGGGCAGTATTTTGAGGGGGATTCATGGAAACGTGTCTTTTACTACAGTAAGTTTTTAATTTAAACATTCACCATATATTTTTGATCAGTCCTTATGTCTCCTTGTATATGTGTCCCCCATCATGTAACCTTCTAGCCCCACACGACCACACTGCTGGAATGTTCTATCCCCCAGCATGGGAGGCTGATCTGCACTTGGTCATCCTGGCCTAGTTACTGATACTCTATTTTGGTTTATTTTCTAAGAAACCAACATGTTACATTTGGAACATTACACTATTTAAAGGAATTCAGCTAAGTGTCACTTCTGGCCAATAGCCAATGTGATGAGGAAGGAGGCAAGGTACTACCCTGCTACTCATATGCTCTCTCTGGGTGTGGTGGTGCACGCCTACAATCCCAGCACTCGGGAGGCTGGGGCAGGAGGATTGCCATGAGTTCGAGGCCAGCCTGAACTGCATAGAGAGACCCTGTCTCAAAAGCAAAACAAAACAAAACAAACAAACAAAAATCCCATGCTTTTGCTTCCCAATATTAAATTTTGGATTTCTAGCCTGTTAAGAAAATTGTTTAAATGTAGTACTTAAGGCTGTCCTAGCTTTCCACAATAGCCCATGCTGCATTTCCCAGATGCAGCGTGTACTTTATTTTTGCTTTTACCCTCTTTTTCTCTTTACTTGGCCCCAGCTGGCTCTGTAGTGCCCGTTTCTCCCACACTTTTCACTTTTACTTTCTCAAATAAACTCTGTCACTGTCTAAAAAAATATATGGTACTTAATTTGTTGCACATCAGTAAAGACAGAGTTGTCTGTACTTTCTAAGAGATAAACAAAAGGACTTCTAGGCACTATCATTCTAAGGATCCTATACCATCACCTTTTTTTGGAGTTAAGGAAACGTGAAAATGGAACTTCTTAATCCTGCCCCTCAACAGCATCTCCTCCTTCCTGCTCTCCACGGACTGCTCCTTCCAAGCTTCTTCCAGAGGCGGAGGAGGTTTGGCTTCATTCTTACGGGTCATGGAGTGCTTTAGGGCACAGGCTATCATAGAATTCTGTATCCTGACAGGTGCCAGGGACACATACATGAGTGTGTGTGTGTGTGTGTGTGTGTGTGTGTATGTGTTAGACTGGGGTTGAACCCAGGGCTTTCACACTGAACTACATCCCCAGCGTTTTAAGATTTTGAAACAGGGTCTCACTAAATTAACGAGGCTGAGGTCAAACGTGAGATCCTCTTTCCTCAGCCTCCGAGAGTGCTGGGACTATCGCTTCTTGGCCTTTTGGCTAAGATCAAGTCTAGAGTGCTAGGACTACAGGTGCGTGCCACCACACCTGGCTTGCCTATTTTTTTAATTGAACTGGGGTTATCAAAATTAATGGCTAATTTAATGTAGGGTGCCAGGGATGGTTCCTTTTTCTTCCCCCAAAAGAAGGGCCTTGAGCCGGGGATTTAGCTCAGTGGTTTTGATGCCTGCTGCACAAGCGCAAGGACCCGAGTTCGATCCCTGGTACCAAAAAACCAAACCAAACAAAACAAAAGAAGGGCCTTATGGTATGAGATTGTTCAAAAAAATCAAAGATCTTTGTGGGTTTGCTAGACTAGCAATGCTACACCTCTAAAAGTCTGGTTAATTTCCCTGACCCACAGATCAAAGTCAGTAACGTAGGGAGACTTTTGAGTGTTTCCAAATGCTGCTCACAAAGACAGCAGAAAGAAATCGAGCCACGTACTTGATTCTATGCCTCACCTTAACCTAACTGCTCCGGTGGGAAAAAGTAAATTAAAACAACCCCCCTCCCCCACAAAAAACAAGCAAATCCCAGCATGTCTACAAAAAGAAAAATACTCGGAAGCACGCTGCATGGATGGAGAGTGCAGTAGGGCTGTATTTATTGCTCTCTCCTCCCCAAGTGGAGTCTCCCTGGCCCACACGCGGGCTGACACCTTCCGTGTGGTCAGGGATGATTACAGGTGAACACAGTGGCGTATGCACGCTGTCGCTGGCCACAGACTGACACGGGCATCAGCATCACTCGTCACTTAAAACAGAAGCATTTCTCGGGCCTCACAGCTTTTTCCTGCAATGGTCTAAAATTCTGGTTTTGCAGGAAGTGAATTAATTTCTCTCATCGATAAAACCAAAATCCTTCTATTTCCAAAAAGAGGAATTTTTTATTAAAATCTTAGTACCACAGTTTGAGAGAAATCTTTGAAAGAAGCAAACTGTTCCTACAGGGAGCTTACAAGTGCTGCAGGGAGGCAGCATTACGTTTTCCTCCCTGTCCCACTTAGCCTTCAGGTCACTGCTGCCCTTTCTGCTGCATCTGGGGCGTTGGCAGGAAGCTGGGCCTTGTCCCCCGCGCGCTCGCTGGCTCCCCCTAGCGGAAGGAGGAGTCATTCGCGGGATTGGTGAGAAGGCAGACCTGACGCCCCATTCTCTATTGGGGGTCATTAACAAGATAAAGACTGCTGCATGGTTTCTTGCTTCATTTTTTGCTGGCCCTCTCCTGGGTCCCGGGACCTGGCCAAACCCGTGGATGGTGGCTCTGTTCCTCGTGTCAGTGTGGAGTGGCCGCAGCTCATTTTGGCTCTTGGTCCAGGCCACTTCCAATCCAACTCTGCCACAATGAGAACCAACTACTTGATCCCTGACTCCGATGTCTTAATGGATTCAGAATCCAGACAGAGAGGGGTGTGATCACCCCCTCAACTGCCAACAGACCCACACTCAAAGCAGGAGCCACGGACCAGTGTTGGAGGCTGTAACTCCCCACAATGTCCTTCCTGAGGCAGAAACTTCTCTCGGCATTAACAAGATGATAATTAGGGCTGTGAGCTAAAATGTAGCTGCCTTTTTAGGTTTCAAAATGCAGCTGCACGGAATGAAGCGAATCCACGCACCAACCTTAGTGCATCTTTGGTCTCGTTTTGGGACTCCAGTTGATCCCAGTCATGCATGAAATGACGGGCAGAGGGAGAAGCGGGGTGTCCCTAGTGGGCTCTCCCTCACCTGTGACTCCAAGCTTCCCTGGGCTGTGGGCCTCACTGCTCAGGAAGCCGGGTCTCAGTTGCTCTAAACCACAAGTACCTCCCTCCTTCCTGTCCTGTTTGCCTACTTTGGGGCAGTAAATGAAATGACTTTTCTGAGTCACAGATGTACCAAGAAGGTATGTAGGGGCTGGGGATTTAGCTTAGTGGCACCTTGCCTGCCTCACAAGTGCAAGGTTCTAAGTTCAATCCCTGGTACCGAAGGAAAAAAAGAAGATATGTAAATAACTAGTAATTCTCTAGGAAATGTTTTACAGTGTTCTTTTTCTAGAGTATAACTAACATATTTCCTCCCTCCCTTCCTTCGTAAGAGCTGATGCCTTGCTATGTCGCTCAGGCTAGCCTTGAATTTCTGGCCCCAAGTGATCCTCCTGCCTCAGCCTCCTGAATAATGGGACTACAGGCATGTGTCGCCATACCCAGATAAACTAATTTTTTCAGAACAATTCTGTATAAGTAAATTTAGCAAAGGCTACTTTTCTTGTTACACATGTAATAATTTGGTTTATTAATATTTTTTAATCATAAGAAGGCAGGTTTCAAGTAAGCAAAAATATATTTTAAGTTCTGGTCATGATGAAATATTTCCTAAGATCTTTTTTTCCAGAAACATTTTCTGGAAATTTGCCAACAACAGATGGGATACTTAAAATGCAAACAAAGCATCAGAGCATTAATTCCCAACCATGGGTTTTGCTGTGTCTATTTGATCTAATAAACTCCAGAAATACTGTTTTCAGGGCTGGGGATTTAGCTCAGTGGCCCTGTCACCTGCCTCGCAAGTGCAAGGTCCCAAGTTCATTCCCCGATACCAAAAAAAAAAAAAAAAAAAAAAAAAAATACTGTTTTCAAATACTCAAGAGCAAGTCATTTAAATCACCTGAATTTAAGCAATACAAACTATAAAACACCTTCAAAATTAGTGAGATTGTAAAATCAAGCAACAATGGTGTAGTAAATCCAAAAAAAAGATAAAATGTTGCTTAATTCAATCTTACAAATGGAAAACAGAAAAAAATTAACAGCAACAGTGCTCTCCTCCTCCACCTTTTTCTATATGCTAACAGAATCAAAAGCAACATATTTTGACTTTATTACTGGTATGATAAAACCTATTTGTCCCAATCATGATTAATCTTCTTTCCCCAAATGACTGACAATTCCTGGGGTGTGAACCCAGGGCCTTGCACTGAGCTGGATATATCCCAGCCCTTTTTATTTTGAGACAGGGTCTCTGTAATTCACTAAGTTGTTCAGGCTGGGCTTGAACTTTCCACCCTCCTGCCTCAGCCTCCCCAGACTGTTAGGATTACAGGCATGTGCCACCAGGCCCAGCTTACATTTTATTTTACTCTTTATGACAAGGAAATAAAGTCTTGTCTTAGGACATGTTCCTTCCCCAGACAGTGAACCGTCATAGGCTTACTGGGTAATAGATCCAGCACACTCCATGCCGAATGTTATCCTTGTACTGGCCCTTGAAGATCAGCCTCCCATCCGAGTCGTACTCCTGAGCCGGCCCATTCAGCTCCCCGTCTACGTAGATGCCCTGGAGGATTCCGCCGTCCTCGTAGGTGTAGATGCCCTGGCCCTGCAGAGCATCGTCCACATAGTACCCCTCCAGGGTGCTGTGTGAGAAGAGAAACACAGGGTCAGCCAGGCTCCGCTGTCTCAAAGGCAAGGACACCGTGCTTGGCTCTGTGGGCCCCGCCAGACCCAGAGTGCCTCTGCCTTCCCCAGATGGCTGGCTGGGAAATCCCAAATTCTGCCAGAGAGCTGGGTGAGACGGGCACAGGGAAGGGGACTTAGCCATTATCTCCTCAGAGCGCTTGTCCTGCTCTCTGCTGGAGGAAAGAGAAGCAAAGAGCTACAGGTGGGAGCTGAAGACAGTGTCAGCTAAATGTGACTCCAACCTGGCCACCAGGCATTCTGCATGCAGCTGCTCGTGTCTGACTTCCCTCGGAAGTGCCCAGGCCTGGTGCAGCTCAGTGGCAGAGCGCCTGCTTGGCACATGTGTGGGTTCTGTCCCCAGACTGTCCCACAATTACCTGGTGGCTCTCAAGGGTCCTTCTGATGCCCCGTATGCATGGCTGTCCAATAACACACACAGAGTTTGGAGCATGCAAGCCTCTGCAGACGTACCTGCCTGTGTACTTTAGTTCCAAGTTATGTCATCATTGGTGACAGCCATAGTTGGTGTCCACTCAGGCAAACCCCTATCTCTTCAGTGGCTATATGGGGATTTATTTAAGTGTGTGTGTGTGTGTGTGTGTGTGTGTGTGTGGGCTACACATGTAGTCATGCATCACTTAACAATGAGGGCGGGTCCTGAGAAATGGGTCAGGCTGCTTGCTATGGTGCAGATTCGCAGTGCACACACACAACACACACATCGCACAGCTACTGCACACCCAGGCTGTGACCCTCTTACGGGACCGCAGTCACATTCCTTGGCTGCCCTGCACACTGGATGGGGAAGGCAAGACACAAGCAGACCAAGCAGGAGGCACACCGGCCATGGGGACTGAGTGGCTTGCCTGACTCAGTCTGGTGGTCTCATTTTGTTGTTTTTCATTAGTGCATGATCGCAGAACACACACTTTACAGTCCTCTTGGAGTGTGGGTACAAGTACTTGATAAAACTTGCTTTTTAAAACATCGCCCTCCCCCTTCTCTTCCCTCTCCTCCTCTAACCCTCCTTTCCCCATGTTCACTCTGACTGATATTATTAACTGTAGCTCATGTTTATAGCACATGACGTCTGCGTTCAAGATCATTAGCTTCCTGCACATGGCTTATCTTTATTCTACTTACTTCCCTTCCGCTCCCCCTCACTGCTGGCCCTTGGTCTCTCGGACCCCTTCCCATTTGCAGAGAAGTCTTATGCTAATGAATGACCGGGAACAATCTATCATTATTAAATGAGAAGCACAGCCTCAGCGCCCATAGCCTCTGCTCTTGCTGTAATCACACTCTGTCCTCTCCCAAGGAGATGAACAGTTTTTCCAGCTTTTTTTGTGCTAGTGGTGACAATGAGCTGACTGAATTCATGCAGAAAATACAGTGCACTTCAGCACAGCCCCTGCATAAAAACCCAAGTCCAGGGCCAGGGATTTAGCTCAGTGGTTCCACCGCCTGCCTTGCAAGCTGAGGACCTGGGTTCTATTCCCGGGACCAAAAAAAAAAAAACCCAAGTCCAGGACCAGGAATTTAGTTCAGTGGTTCTGGCACCTGCCTTGCAAGCCCAAGGTCCCAAGTTCGATCCCCAGTGCCAAAAAAACCCCCAAAAACCCAAGTCCAAATCAGGCTGGAATTAAGGAAGCAAACCCATCTCTAGACTTCCACAAATAAAAAAAGAAAAAATAATTTTACTGAAGGGTTAGTGATCTACTGACATGTTGATGGAACATACAGTGGAAAAAACTATTTAATCCTTTATCTTCATTTTTTGGGTTGTCAGATAAAATGCAAGTTCTCAGTTAAGTTTTCAAATAAAAAACAATTCTTTAGTGTAATGTGTCCCAAATATTATTTTATTTTTTATTTTTTAGCTGTACAGGGGATTGAACTCAGGACCTTGTGCTTGCAAGGCAGGCATGGTAGCGCCACTGAGCTAAATCCCCAGGCCCCAAATATTATTATTTTTTGAGGCAAGGTCTATGTTGCTTAGGGTGGTCTTGAACTCCTAAGTTGAGCAGTTCTCCTGCCTCAGCCTCCTTCGTAGCTGAGACCAGAGGAGTGAGCCACTGTGTCCAGCCCAAATTTTGAGTGGTACAGAACATATTTTTTGTTTGTGTGTGTGTGCGCGTGCGTGCATGCATGCACATGCACACACACACACACAAGCTACCAGAGGATTGAACTCAGGGTATTTGCACTGAACTACTTCCCAGTCCTTTTAAAATTTTTTACTTTTATTTTTTGGTTTTGGTTTTTGGAGACAGGGTCTCACTATGTGGTTCAGGCTCGCCTTGAAATTACTGACTGCATAGTCCAGGCTGGCCTCAAAGTTTTGGCAATCCTCCTGCCTCAACCTTCCAAGTGCTGGGATTACATGTAGGCACCATCACACCTGGTATCAAATTTTTTATTTTGAGACAGGGTCTTGCTAAGTTGCCCAGGCTGCCCTCCAACTTGTAATCCTCCTGCCTCAGCCTCTCACAGTGCTGAGGTTACATGCGTGTGTTGCCACACCCAGCTGAATGGTACACACTTACATTAAATTTTTGGTTGTGATTTATCAGAAATTCCAATTTAACTAGATGTCCTGAATTCTTATTTGCTAATCCTGGCAACCCTATTGACTTTGGATTCTCAGCAGCATGCAAACTATTCCTGTGTATATCTGGGTAGAATTATCCTGACAAAATAGTCTAATATTGCTCAGGTTTCTGATCAACCCCACAAGGTGCAGGCCTCACAATTCACTTAAAGAATAATATGGACCTGGACATTTCCCTTGCAGTGCTCAGTGGCTCTTCCTTTCCCCAGTGAACAGAAACTGCTATTTCCCTCTCAGCCCAACTGACTTATGGTCCACAAGTGCAAATTCCTAAGGCACCAAGGAGTGAATCCTACTGCATTATTTTATGAGCCATGTGCCTGGAGACATGGCATTTTCTTGGCAGCTTTTTATGGTAACTTGGGAAGAACGTGATGATGAAAGGAGTGTTACACACTTGAGCTGGGTTCTCCAAAAAATAAAAATGCTGTCTTTGAGATCCTGTCACTGAGGAAAGGAAGGAAAGGTTCCTCACACTGGCATTCAAGGTGCCACCTTTCTTTCTCACTTCTTCCAGAGGAGGCTGGTAAATCATGCCTCTGCCTGTTCTTGTAAATAAAGCTTTATTGAAATGCAGCCTGCACATTCCTTTCTATGCTTTTTCTGTGGCTGCTTTCACACTAGGATGAGAGGATGAGAATCAGGAACTGAACAGTTACTCTCACCCCATACAGGCAAAGTTTGCTGTCTCCTGCTCTAGGATCCTCTGCTCACATTTGTTTACTCATATATCTTAGCTGCCATATTATGTTTTTCTTTGTGTTGTCCCTTAAAACATAGGTGAGGTAGGTTTTTAAATTTTTGAGGACGCATTTAGGAAAAAAACAGTTAAGGGCTACATTTTCTTCCTCCCTCCCTCTCTCCCTTCCTGGCCCTGGGATAATAATGAATATTCTTAATCCTCTGGCACTTTTCTCTTGAAAGAAAGGAACTGATGCTATTTTGTAGCCACTAAAACATTAACACGTGGTCAGATTTGAAAAGTACAGTGGGGCTGGGGATTTAGCTCAGTGGTCGCACACCTGCCTCACAAGTGCAAGTATATGGAAGTAGTTTTCTATTCTTTCTTGCAGAAACGGAAATGTATTTGCAGTGGTCTGCTCATCTCTGCCCTGTAGAGCCTCCTGGCTTCCCAAGAGCCCCACTTTCCCACGCAGCCAGCCCTGCACTGCTACAGAACAGCCAGTTCTTTGCTGATGTTCAATTATGTCCCGGGCTGGGAGTGCAACTCATAGTACAGTGCTTGCTAGCACGTGTGAGGGCCTGGGTTTGAGCCCAGCACTGCAAAAAAAATTTTTATAAGTTTAAAAAAAATTATGCTTTACTTCTGTAGTTAGAAGATCCTTTAAGGGGACAAATTAGGGCTCATACATCCACAGATCCCTATAACATATAAGCACAGCACAATATCTATTTGTATATCCTAGGCAAAGGACTGGAAATGGAAGCCCAGAGAGAACTGGGCTGGAAGGAACAATGTTACTCAAGTGTACACTGCTTGTTTCTTAGTTGAATTAGATATGCACACGGTCTGAAAGGCAGAAGGGCTTCTTAAACACTGGTGCTTCATTTGTTCAGTTGCAAAACGAGCTACTAATAGGGCTGTTACAAGGATCAAGGGTTAATTTATGGCAGAAGCTTAGGATATGGTCTGGCAGTAGTGAACACTCAAATTAATAGCTGTTGTTAAGCACACACTTCTCATGCCTAGGAAGGCAAGCTGTCCACTGAGAGCTTGGGTCTAAAAGCATTATAAGGACAGTGGTGAGACACTGGAATAGTCAAAGAAATTTACCACAGTGCTTTAAAACTGGTGTTTGTTTTAAAGCAGTAAAGACTCCTCTGTAAGAATTGGTGAGTTGGGCTGGGGATTTAGCTCAGTGGTTCTGCTGCCTGCCTCGCAAGTGTAAGGTCCCGAGTTCGATCCCCGATACCAAAAAAAAAAAAAGTAATATGTTGTTATGATGTAAATATGAAGTGTCCCCAAAGACTCATGTATTGAGGATTTGACTCCCAGTGCAGCGATGTTCAGAGGAGGCAACTACAGAGGTGCCTGGATCAGGAGAGGAACCAATCTATGGAGGACTTCAGTAGCAGAAGGGGCAGTTAGGAAGTGGCACTTAGGAAGTTTCAGGAGGGAGGTCACTGGCCACTGCCTTTGAAAGGGTGTATTTCTTCCTGGGGTCTTTCCAACCTCTGCTTCCTACCCACCATGAAGTGAGCAGCTTTCCTCTGCCATGCACTTCCGCCTTGATGTTTCTGCTTTGGAGCCACCAGATCATGGAGTGCAACCTCTGAGACTATGAGCGAAAATAAACTTCTCCTCCTTTAAACTTTGAGTGACAG